CTGGTACCTTAAAAATAAATTTTTAAAAATAAATTTTTTTCAAATTACTATCTTGTACGAAATTTCCTGGCGCATCTTTTTTCTCATTATAAATTTTTTCTATTTGTATACAATTTTTGAATCAATATACAACTTTAAAAAAAATTTCGTAGGTAAACGTTGTGTACTTCAGCTTCGTGAATTGAATTTTCGAATTTGAAATTTTAAAGAAACTTATTCCGAAATTTGGAAACACAATTATACAACTTTGGCAAAAATGAGAAAAAGAATTGTCAAAATTTGACACGTCATAAGATTACTATTCAAAAAAAAACGTGAAATCAGAAAAGGCCAACTTCAAGTTAGGACAGAAGGACAGACCAAGCATTTTATTATTATATAATAATTCCCCTTAATTTGAAGCAAAAATTCGATTATTTTTTTTTAAAATTAACTTTTTTCTTCATTAATTAATTTAAGACGTTTTTAATTATTATATTTTTTATTTACTATATAATAGATTATTATATTCTTATATAAAGTATAATATTCAGATGAGAAATCTAATTATGGTTTATTAAAGCAGTCCTTTGACATTGACTAGAGTATTTTGTATATTATAAAATTAATTACTAAAGTGAATATTAGAGGGATTTTGTTGAAAAAATTGTCTAGAGAGTAAAGATAAAGACAAAGAAGAAGAAGAAGAATAAGAGAGAGAGGATTTTGTAAATACGACCTCTTGACTGTAACAAGGTATCATGATCGTGAGGACAATGAGACTTCGTGAACAGATACGAAGCCCTTTGTTCACACACAAGTTGTTATGATCGTAACTAGTGCTCAATGATGGCCGCCCTCTGTTCGTTGGTCTATCTGATATACTATCAAAAGGAAAAGCCCTTAAATTCCCTTAATATGACATAAATAACAATTTATTCAAACATGAAAATTCATGTCAATATTTTTATTTTCGTAAAAAGATATTTCAATAAAATAAAACTAAAAAAAGATAAAATTAGTTTCTAATTAAAAAAAAATCAATTTAAATTTACATTTTTTTTTTTATAATAAAATAAAGAAGGAATGTCATTAATAGTATGCACGTAGTTGAAAGACATTTTTTTTTTTTTCGTACGCAGTTGAGAGAAAGAGAGAATAGTAGAAATGAGTAAAGTGCAACGTCAAGGAGAGACTAGACGAGAGCAGTCTCTCTCTGTACTTGTCACGTTTGTCGTTTCGTAAATTCGTCGACTCCATTCGTCTAGTGTTCTCAAAAGAAGCCACTTCCAACATTCTCACGTTTAACCTCGGCATAAGTCTTTTACTCCGATTTTCAGCTAGATATAATTTTAGACTTGACTTTCAGACTGTTTTCATTCATTTACTAAACGAAAATTATTATTTTCTTTACACTGAAAACTTTTTTGTTTTCATATACAAATTTTTTTTTTTTTTTTTGATCGCAGAAAAATTTTCTATTTTCCATATCAAAATTTTTGAACCACAAAAAAATTTTGTTCTCCATATCAAAATTTTTGAACCACAAGAAAATTTTGTTCTCCATATAAAAATTTTTGGATTACAAAACAATTTAAAAATTTGTTTATTTTTAATCGAATAGTAAACAGATTATTATTGATTGAGTGAAATGAAAAATAAAAGAGGATGTCCTATTCTTTTCAAAGAGAATACGATATACTATTGGTCCTATCAAGAAATCTAAAATGAAATGAAATCGCATTGTTACGTTCCTTAAATTTCCCTTTTTATGAGGACACTATACTTGCGCTGCGAGAAAATCTCATTCTATTGTATAAAATAGCGTAAAAGTTGTGCGAACTTTTTACGACAAAGACATAAATCTCTAAGCCGATCTAACGCGCTTCAATTTTGAGAGTATCGTGTCTATGTCAAATGAAAATGTAATCAAGTCGATCGTTGAAACAATGGCAATTTTGTTCTACTCAATCAATGTCGTAAATCTCGATTGTTATTGCTAGGAACCTGCAAATAACCTATTTCGTTTTTCTTGATATGTCAATTTCAGATAAACGACTAGCAGATTAGATAATATTTAATTTCTTTATTTCTTTTTTTTGGTATGTAAAATTTTATATAAGAGAGCGACATAAAAATATTAATAATCATAAATATTATAAAAAATGATTAATATTCAGAGAAAATTAAAAGACATTAAAATAAGCTGCAACGCTTATTATTTTAATCCATTTTGCTATTAAAATAAGCAAAATTGGATTTAAATAATAAACGTTGCAGCTTATTTTAATGCTTTTTAATTTTCTGTGTTATTAATATCATAATTTTATTAACAATAATTTCTTTATTGAAAAACTTTATTTACTTATTCGAAAAATAAATTTTACTCTTTAAATTTTAATTAGTTAAAGATAACTAATTTGGTAGTAAAAAGTCAGTTAGTGATTCAAATAGTAATATTTCTACTAATCTTTCAGTTAAAAATAATTATTTATTAGTTAAATTCACTTTTAGGTTAGGTTAAAATAACTAAAATTTTTTAGTAACTAATTCAATTAGTCAATTTTGACTTGTTTAAAAGTATTTTTCCACTAAAAATTGGTTAATTTTAATTAATAATTTTTGCAAATAATAATTAATTAATTTTTAGTAATAATTTTAATATTTACTAATAATTAGTTAATTTATACTAATAATAATTAGTCAGTCTTTCCTAATAATTAGTTAATCTTTACTAATAATTAGTTACTTTACTAATAATTTGTTATTCTTTACTAATAATTAGTTAATTTATACTAATAATAATTAGTCAGTCTTTCCTAATAATTAGTTAATCTTTACTATTAATTAGTTACTTAACTAATAATTTATTATTCTTTACTAATAATTAGTTAATTTATACTAATAAAAATTAGTCAGTCAATAATTAGTTAATCTTTACTAATAATTAGTTACTTTACTAATAATTTGTTATTCTTTACTAATAATTAGTTAATTTATACTAATAATAATTAGTCAGTCTTTCCTAATAATTAGTTAATCTTTACTAATAATTAGTTACTTAACTAATAATTTATTATTCTTTACTAATAATTAGTTAATTTATACTAATAAAAATTAGTCAGTCAATAATTAGTTAATCTTTACTAATAATTAGTTACTTTACTAATAATTAGTTAATATCTACTAATAATTAGTTACTTCACTAATAATTAGATAATATTAACTAAAAATAATTAATTTTTTACTAATAACTAGTTATTTTTAACCAATTTAAATTTAGAGAGTAAAATAATTAAAATTCCATTAATAAATTTTTTTAAACATAGTTTTAAAAAAGTATTATTAAAAAAATTATTTGAACTTTAATTTTGATTCACTTTATTTTCAAATGTAAAAAGAACTTGACGGACCACTTTTGTGGTGTTTAAATTCATACCCCTCTTATGTTGGCAAAGAAGCCAACATTTATATAGAAAAGCTGAAACTGCAAAAGTTTTTCGCTCCAAAGCATCGGGGGAAATAAAAAAAAAAAAAAAAAAAAAAAAGAAAGGAAAACTACGCCTCGAACCTGATTAAGTCCTGTTTGCAGTTGACGGGGCTTTTTAACGTCTCTTCTGCCTAATCTTACATTTTACGTTAACTGCTCGACTTAAGCTCCTTCGAATGCTTGTCCCACAGTAATTTAATATTTCCTCTTATACACGTTAAAGAATACTGTTAATTGCCCAGCAACTTTGTAATTACAGAACACTGAAGAATGATAAAGACCTTTTTTATTTCCATTATGACTTCAGTTATCTGCGAATTTTTCTTTCTCCTTTTTTTTTTTTTATTAAATGAACGTCCAGTTTTTTTTTTTCATCATTGTCCAGGATTCATTTTCATATTTTTCTCGTAATATCTGTTTTTTTCAAGTTTCCTCAGCTAATTGCAGGTATTTAAAAAAGTTGTGATTATATAGAATAATTATTTAAGGAAAAAAGTTTTTAACACAATTATTTTTTTGCTGTGAAAGAAAATGTGCCCTCTAAAAAATATATTTTTTTTAATTATAAAAATAGTTTTACAAATATTAATTTTTTGCAAAATAAATATATTTTTTAAAATAATAATTTGTCAGGTATTTCTTTGGTGCTTTGATGTCAGTATAGTAAAGTAAGATACCTTGTTGGATGGAAAGTGGGAGATAAAAAAAATAGTGTATTTGTGTTTTTTTTTTTAGTCCAACCTTTTGTTGAAAACAGTTTGAAACTCTCTCTGGGTTTTCCTAACAGAACCATTAATCATAAAAGCACCTTGACTACAACGGTTGACACATAGCTGCATAAATACACAATACACATATCCGAGTCGATATTAACACGATCTGAGTTTTACTCTATGGCACGACTCGGCAATAATTTTTTTTCATTTCTCTATTTATTGTTCACATGGGATCAGTAGTGGTAGTAACATGTTTGAAAATCGACATCAAATCCTTGTATTTCAAACTCCTATTCATATTCATTTATATACTTTTGAAAATATATTTTATCCCTTCATATATGTGCGTGTATCGCGTAAATAATGGAAGAAAATTTTGCAATAGTTGTATAAATATTGTGAATGATAGAATTAACGATGTATAATGTTAATTTATTTTCTTTTTGAATATGGAAAATTTTTTTAATATTCAATAAAATTCTTTCTTTGTTTGAAAAATTTATTAAAATTAAAAATAAACATTTGGTTTATTTCGATAAATTTTTCTAAGAATTTTTTTGAAACAAATTTTGTTTTAATAAAAAAATTGTATTAATGTAAAAAAAAAATTGAATATTTGTTTCAAACAAAACTTTTCCAGTATTAAAATTTATATAAGAAGCTTATTTTCCCAAACATCAAATATTCCATTTAAATTTATGAAATATTAAAAAATATATTCCATAAAAGCAAATTTTCCATTGGTTTTTGAATCTTACATTTTTTTTACTGGAGAAAAAAAAATACTAAATAAAAAATAAATTTTTTTGTTGTAGAAATTGGAGAATCGACGAAATTTACGGTGATAACGAGTGGTCATCTGGCACAAATTGTTCACAATCGCCGCCAGATCCGATATCCTGGTCCAGTGGAACTAAACATTTGTAGATCATAACTTCCGTTTATGATCTGCTTTCTGTCTGTTCCAGAGTTTAAAGGTATGTGAGTATATATATATATATTTTTTTATACGTTCTGCTATTTCATATACATATATATATATTTTTTTTTTTACATTTTCAATTACAATTTACATAGTTTTAGCGATATTGACATTTTTACATATACAGCCAGGATTGTTTATATCGTATATTCATTTAGCCGCGGCGGAAAATTGTTTAACTAAATTAAACTACAAACACATATAGACCCTCACTCAATTTCGATAAAAGTTCTGCATATTTGTTTTGATTAATTTTTCCTATTTGCTTTTTTATAGTACAATGTGAGTGTACTATCTCTAAAAAAAAAATCCATTTTTGTATGATTATACATTTCTTTATTTTTTTTTTATATTTCATACACATTCTTCCGTGTGTATAAAAATTTTGTATTATAATATTTCGATGCGAAAAATTACATTGAAATGCTTATTATAATAATTATACATGCGCGGTAATTAAAAGAATTTGTTTGTTTTTTTTAATTGGAGAAAACCTCGAACAAATAAAGCTAAACAGAACTCTTGAGAGTTTTAATTAAAAATGAAATGTTATCATTGTTAGATAATTAAAATTCCATATATATATAATTTATAATTGCATTTAAAATAATTTTCATTTCTTTTATAAAAACTATACATATTTCACTTGGTTTTTTATTTTATTTTACTAAAGAAAAAGTTTTGAACATTCTGTCTGCTTGCTTAAGCGTTAGTAGATAAATTGCTACATGAAAAGTATAAGCTCTTAAAGTTTGCCGCGCCTTCATTATACAAAAAGGATACTTTAAGGTTCCGATCATAAAAATGCGATAAAGTCAATACTTTGCATATTGAAGAAGCGCGAGCTTATACCCATCATTTAATTTTTTTTTTCTCTTCCTCTATCACTCTCATATTCTTTAAGATGATGAGTAAAAAAAGGAAGGTTTTTTTTGTATATATAGGTCGAAAAAATGATGTATAAATACATTTTTAAACGTTTATGCAAAGTCAAAAAAAAAATTCGTTTTTTGTAATCGATGTGAAAAAAGAAATTTTTAATAATAAAAAATGTTAATCTATGAAAATAATAAATGTGAAAGAATTTTATTAATACAAAACTCGGAGAAATAACGATTCTATATTCGTTAAAGGTATTGTCTAAAGTTAGCAATGTTACGCATTTACATACTTGATTTTGCAATTCAAAGAGAGATCAACAGTGAGATTGTGCTTTCTAAAATAAGATTAAACTCCATTTGAATCGTATTTTGAAATCGCATGTTTATGCGCATGTTTAAAATCACAAGATAAAGACTTATTGTCTAAATTTTCGAATTATATTCCCTTTTTTTTTTTACAGAGAATAAAATAAAAAACTAAAACTTTTTACATATGTCAATATTTAAACGTAATTAAAATTTATTAGCATAAAATAACATATATATATGGCTTTTATGTTTTATTCAATTTTTTTTGTTTATTTTCCATTATAGCCAAGAAAAAAAAAATGTCGGCTTTAATAATATTGATGGATAATTTTACAATATAGAGAATATAAAATATCTTCACATTTATTATTCACGATTTAGCGAAACGTGCAAATACTTTTTTAAATAATAATAAAAAGGTATTTTTTTTAAATAATAATAATTATAAATAATTTTTTTTGAATATTTTTAAAAATTTCTTTTTTCATCAATATGTATTGCGAAAATACTCCGCGGTAATGTTTGAAATATTGTGGGAATATTTTTTGGAATAGTTTAGGAATACATTATGCAATACTTTTTGGAATATTTTAGGAATACTGTTTGAAATATTGTAGGAATACTTTTAGGAATATTGTAGGAATACTTTTTGGAATATTTTTGGAATACTATTTGAAATATTGTAGGAATACTTTTCGGAATATTGTAGGAATATTGTAGGAATACTTTAAGGAATATTTTAGGAATACTTTAGGGAATATTTTAGGAATACTGTTTGAAATATTGTAGGAATACTTTTAGGAATATTGTAGGAATACTTTTTGGAATATTTTTGGAATACTGTTTGAAATATTGTAGGAATACTTTTCGGAATATTGTAGGAATATTGTAGGAATACTTTAAGGAATATTTTAGGAATACTTTAGGGAATATTTTTGGAATACTGTATGAAATATTGTAGGAATAGTTTTTGGAATAATGTAGGAATAATTTTTGAATTATTGTTGAAATATTGTAGGAATACTTTAAGGAATATTTTAGGAATACTATATGGAATACTTTTTGGAATATTTTAGAAATACTGTTTGAAATATTGTAGGAATACTTTTAGGAATATTGTAGGAATACTTTTTGGAATATTTTTGGAATACTATTTGAAATATTGTAGGGAATATTTTAGGAATACTGTATGAAATATTGTAGGAATAGTTTTTGGAATAATGTAGGAATAATTTTTGAATTATTGTTGGAATATTGTAGGAATACTTTAAGGAATACTATATGAAATACTTTTTGGAATATTTTAGGAATACTTTATGGAATATATTAGGAATATTGTAGGAATACTATATGGAATACTTTTTGGAATATTTTAGGAATACTTTATGGAATATACTAGGAATACTTTTTGGAATATTTTAGGAATACTTTATGGAATATATTAGGAATATTGTAGGAATACTATATGGAATACTTTTTGGAATATTTTAGGAATAATTTATGGAATATACTAGGAATACTTTTTGGAATATTTTAGGAATACTTTATGGAATATATTAGGAATATTGTAGGAATACTATATGGAATACTTTTTGAAATATATTAGGAATATTGTAGGAATACTATATGGAATACTTTTTGTAATATTTTAGGAATACTTTATGGAATATATTAGGAATATTGTAGGAATACTTTTTGGAATATTTTAGGAATACTTCATGGAATATTGTAGGAATACTTTATGAAATATTTTAGGAATACTGTTTGGAATATTGTATTAATACTTTTTGGAATATTGTTACAGTATTGTAGGAATATTGTAGGAATACTGTATGGAATACTTTTTGAAATATTGTAGGAATACTTTATGGAATACTTTTTGTAATATACTATGAATACTTTACGGAAAATTTTAGGAATGCTGTTTATTATATTGTATGAATACTTTTAGTAATACTCTTTTTGTGTATAATTAAATAATTATTTTTAAATAAAATGATTTTTAAAACAGAAATTCAAAAAAAAATTTGAAGAATTTTAAAATGAAAAATTTTTCTCTCGTGAAAAAAAAATAATCTTACCCATCGATAAGAGGGACATCGCGAAGAATTTTGCGAGCCGCCGCAAGACGATCGACTGTATGTGCTGCGAGCAGGATTCTTGTCAGTAGCTGGCCAAGCACCATCACGCCCACCACCATCCTCATCCTCCTCCTCGCAGGGCCCGAAGCTCCTCACTAATGTCCTCATGCCATCGCCAGCTAATCGCCTCAATTGCTGTCTCTCCACTTTCTCTCTCTCTCTCTCTTAGTTACACCTTTTCTTGTCTCTCTCTCTCTCTATAATAATCTCTAATCTTCGCAAACTCACTTCACTTGCTCTTCCACTTTGCTCATAATGTCCTGTCTCTTAATAATAAGTTTACCTTTTGTTTCTCACTTTTTTCCCCTCTTTTTCTCTTAATTACAACATTGCTTCAATTTTTTTCCTATTATTCTTTCATTTTCCGCTGAAATTCTCTGTTTCTCTCTTTCTCTTCGTGTTTTTCTCGTTTTGCTCTAGGTACTTACTTAAATATCTCTCTTGGTATCTCGTATTTCCGTCTTTTGTATCTTTATCTTTTGTTCTCGTATTTATATTTTTACTCTTCTTGTACTTACACTTTTTTTTATCGTTTTTTCATATATTGTGCGTATTTTTTTTTAACGATATCGATCTTTTATATTTTGTAATTATTTATATTTTCTAATTTTTCGCTAGCGGCGTTTTTGTATAATCTTTTGGAGTAAACTTCTTGATTATTCTTATCTTATTCTTGTCTTCTAATTCTTTTTATCTTCTGATCAATTTTAACTTTCATTATCTATTCTGTTCATTCTTATCATCAGATCTTCTAATTTTGGAAGTCTGATCTTGTAATTTTATCTTCTAATTTTAGAAGACTCTTCTGATTTTGTAGTTTTATCTTCTAATTTTTTGCATTATTTTTTTTTTGTGACTAATTTTTTTTTTTCTTAAGTAGAAATTGCTTTTTTTTGGTGTATTTTTTTTCCTATTTTTTGCTAACTACTTTTCTATACTGTTTTTTTTCTATTCTACGTGATTTTTAGTTAGATGAATATTTTCACAAATTTGTGTTGGTTTTGGTTAGAAATTTTTAAATTGAAATTTTCTATTAGGGTTTTCTGGGTAGAGGCTTTTTTTTTTTTGTTGGTCACACGAAATGTGAGACGACGTCGTTCACTTAACTTCCTGCTACACGTATCAACATGACCAAACACCTTTTAGGGTAATAACTGTCTTTTAGGGTCACCAACATGAACATCGATAGCCTTCAATTTAACACCTCTGTTGGTCAAACTTTTTTATACATATTTTTTTTTTATTTCTTATTTTTTACCTCTTCTATTTTTCTTTTTATTTCCGTTTTTTATCACCTTTGCTTTCCTTTTTCTAGTTTATTTCTATTTTTTAATTTTTTTCTTCTTCTTTTTTTCTATTTTATTTCTATTTTTAATCACCTTTTTTCTTCTCCTTTTTCTATTTTACTTCTATTTTTTAATCACTTTTTTCTTCCTCTTTTTTTCTCACCTATTTTTTTTAAACTTTTTTCTTCTTTTTTTTTTATTTCACTTAATAAATTTTTTTCTTCTCCCTTTTTTTCACCTATTTTTTTAATCACTTTTCTTTTTTCTTCTCTCTTATTTTTCTCTTCGTTCTTTTTTTTGGGATTTTTCGTCTAGAATAGTAAGAGACCTTTGGCCTTTTTTGTGATCGACTCTTGGACCTTTGATCGCCAACGCCCCTTCTATGATCGTTTTAACTAAACCCTGACACTATCACAAACTTTTTCTTGTCTTTTTCTTTTTTTTTTTTTTTTATCACCGCACTGGACTATCGATCCATGATCTCTCGTGAGTATCGTTAAGCAAAATGTTCTGGCTCATCACCACCGACCACAAACCGATCCCAGAGTGCTCGTTAGCGCCTGAGATTAATTAGTGCGACTGCGGGATCTGATCACAGTCCTTGCTCAAGAAAAGTCCCTCGCGACAACCTTAACATATTGACTCTAATATATATATGTATATACATATATACTCTTATCCAAATCAGATTCATGATTCACTAGAGACTATTTCATTTCGATTTTTTTTTTTTTGAGAATTCTTCTTTTTTTTCGTTATCGATCTTCTTTTATTTGTATTCAACCGGCACTTTCTTTCACATGCCATTGCGGTTTGATTTTCATTTTTTTTTTTACTACTGTTTTTGTCACATTTTTTTTTTTTTGGTTGGTATTGTCAGGAAATTGCAGTTCTTTTTTGTGTGGGATATTTTTTATTTTAAGAAAGAGTTTAAATAAGTGCTTTTTTTTGGGGTGAAGAAAAATACACTTCCTACTTTTTCCTTTGGACTGGTATATACTGAAAGTGAGAAATCAGTTGAGGTATACTTTCATTTCACGAAACCACCCTAAGACATCAACTTTAAGGTCTCTTTTTGCTTTTTTGAATTTAAGTGCTTCAATTCCGGAATTTTTATCTCTCGGGCACTTATTTTTTGTGTGAACCATTTTTTGAAATAGATTTTCTATTTTATTTATTTTTTTTTGATTTATTATTACTAATATTATTATTATTTAGTATTATTTATTATTACTTAGTTTTTAGTATAATTTATTATTATTTAATAGTATTTAGTACTATTAAGTATTATCTAGTAGTATTTAATATTATTTAGTATTATCTAGTAATATTTAGTACTATTCAGTATTATTTAGTACTATTTAGTTTTATCTAGTATTTTTTAGTATTATCTAGTATTTTTTAGTATTATTTGGTATTATCTAGTAATATTTAGTACTATTTAGTTTTATCTACTATTTTTTAGTATTATCTAGTATTTTTTAGTATTATTTGGTACTATTTACTAATATTTGGTACTATTTAGTATTAATTAGTACTACTTAGTTTTATCTAGTATTTTTTAGTATTATTTGGTACTATTTAGTAATATTTAGTATTATTTGGTACTATTTAGTAATATTTAGTAATATTTAGTAATATTTAGTACTATTTAGTAACATTTAGCACTATTTAGTACTATTTGGTGCTATCTAGTATTATTTAATATTACTTAATATTATTTAGTATTATTTAGAATTATTAATTCTTATTATTTATTTATTTATTTATTTTGTCTTTGTTAATATTTTTTTTCAAAATGATTTTTTTTAATTGTATCAATTTCTAAGGGAAATATTCATTGTGTCACAGCGTTACATACACACGGCATAATTAAAAAGTTCTTTAAGTGTAAAAAAAAAATCTTGAAAATGAAATTAAACTGTTGTCGAAGACATAAAAAAAAGTTAAGACGTGAAAAATTAAATTTCTTTTTTTTGTACCTACAAACATGGTAATTTCTAGTATGATTTAAGAGAGGGCCCATAGTAGGAACCAGCTTATCGTGATCATAATGAAGAATTACTAAATGTAAAACGTGATATATCGTAAAGGGAAATGTTTTTGGCTTTCAGCCAGGACCTTCATCCTCGAGTTCACTGTACTTTCGGTTTAAGTTTAGAATTCTAAGGCAACGCTCGAAGTCATTGATAAATTATTATTATTATAAATTTTATTGTTATTATTATTATTATTATTATTATTATTATTATTTATTACTTCTATTTTTATTATTGTAGTAAAAAAAGTAAAATTTTCGAAATTTTTTTGATATAAAAATCTAAATTAGCAAAATTCCGTTAAAATTATAAATATATTGTAATAATTAGTCAGATAATAAATTAGGCAAATTTGTTTTATATATAAGATTAATGAAAGCAATTTTCAAAATTGGTTAATGTCATTAAAAGTAATCGAATCCATTTTAGAATGACAAGTCGTTAATTTAAACTAACGAATGACAAAAATGTGTTTATCGCGACTAAATTCAATTGACATTTGTTCATCAAGATAATGTTTCAATTGGAAACATAAAATAAATTACATTTGAAAATTTTAAATTAATTTGAAATTTGTGCGCGTGTGTGTATTGTCAACCCAATAAAATATCCGTTGCGTATACATATATATATATATATATCCGGTGAGGCAGAAATCATTATTTGAAATCCGTAATTGCTTCATTATTAAACTCGGCTTGTTTTCCTGATAGTCACCATAAATGTTCGCTTCATTGAGATCAGTTATATATCATATGTCAGATAAAAGTAAAGTTTTTAATTCATTGGAAAAAAAAAGAAATTCACTTTCTATACTTAAAAATTCGTTGAACCGCATATATATCTCAGTAATTAACGCGAGTTTATATTGTCATCGATAAACTTGACAATATTTCTCTCTCTCTTTAATAAATTTCTCTTTAAAAAAAAAAAAACCAAATTGAATTACTTCCATTGAAATAAACTTTAATCAATTGCTTTTCAATGAGCAAATATCTCATTGTTCAAATCAAATTGTCATCATGAATTTAAATTTTTTATTTCATTTCTATTTGTCTTTGAAAAATCTTTTATATTATTTGGATAATTATTATATAGTAAATTTTTTGGTTCAATTTTAATGTTTAAATATTGAAAAATATAAAGTAATTCAATTTATATATAACTGATAATATAATAATAATAATAAAATAATAATGATAATAATATTAATAAATTTAATTAACTTTTGTGACGCGAATTGTCGAAATTTGTGTTTTGTGAAAAAAGATGTCGGGGAAATGATTAAATTGTGTGTGTGTGTTTTTTTATGTGTTAATATTTCTCTCTCATTTTTTTGTCATTATAAAGTTTCCTTAATTTTTGTTTTTATGTTTTTTTTCGGGTTTGAACAATTTACTACTGCAATCAGTGCATTTAGAAAAGTTTTGCGATTGTTCCTGTGTGTGCCTGGGGAACAATAAACGCGCGTTTCTGGTGATGAAGGCACACACACACACACACATACACACAAACGGAAAATGCCCGTTAATCGAAGAAGTTCGGGTCCGATCGACATCGCAACAATCGACTGTAACTAACGAGTTATCCCACTCCATAATTATTGGTAAATGCGGCGGATAGTGAGTAATTAGATAGATGCATGTAGTCACGTATAATACTGATTGGTTACCATATATCATCAAATATATATATAGAGAGAATTTTCAGAGATCGATTTTTCATATGCTCTAAATTTAAAGAAAAAAAAATTTTAATTTCACAAAATTTCTAAATATTTTTAATTTAAAGAAAAATTCGTTTTTATAATATTAGAAAAAAAATTATATTAATTATTTAGCAGTTTATAAATAATAATTATAAAAAAATTATAATAATTTAAAAAAAATATAATAATTTTAAAAAAATATAATAATCATAATATTAATAATAATAGTTAATAGTTAATAATAGTTTAATATATTATTATAATGGTTTAATATATTTTTTAAAGCACTGTAACTTAATTAAAATTTCATAGTTGAATTTTAATTAAATTCCGTTAATATGTGCTTTGATTTAAACAGTTCAGCTAATACATTTTGATTGAAACGCTTTAAACAATGAATTTTAATTGACGCAATTAATTTGTTACGCACTAAGAAATTCTTTACATTTATGATGCCATATAAAACAAATTAGTTTTTTTTTAAATATATACGAGAATTAATATTTAAAATTACTGCTTTTATTATATTTAAAATTTTAAATATTTCGAATATTTTTGTTTGCAACTTTTTCGAAAAGTAAAAAAAAAAAATTGAAAATCACATTCGTTATTTAATTTGACTTTTAAATATTTTATTTGTTCAAAAACTCGTTGTTTTATTATTATTATTATTATTATTATTATTATTATTATTATTATTATTATTATTATATTTATTATTTAGTAGAAATATAATATTGTATTTATTATTATTTTATTTAATATAATTTTATTATTATATTTATTTTTTAATATATATATATATATTTATTGTTTAATAATTTAGAAAAGTGAATTTTTTATTATTTGAATATTTTCCTCGGTATATAATTTACACTTTATAATTTGGTAATATAGTAATTTAATATTGAGATAAATTTTATTCACCTGAAAATGACTCTTATACAATACATATTAAAATTAATTTATTCCATTCGAGGAGGAAATAAATTTAAATTATTTGCTAGTAGATTAAATTTTATTTTTTAAAAATATATTTCATCGTAAATTGAATCACAATTCAAATATCCTATTTATATGTTGATAATTTAAATATTAACGTGTATATTAGATAAATAAATTGAATAATAAATTATATTCTATATAATAATAAATAATATAAAGTCTACTATAAATACTATAATAAATGTATAATTAATAATTAATAATTAATAATTAATAAATTATATACTAAATAATAAATATATAAAAAATTTATAAATAAATATTAAAAAATAAATAATAAATAAATAATAAATTCATAAATTATACTATAAATACTACAATAAATGTAAATTATCAATTTTTTAAAATTCATTTCAAAAAAATATTTGATTACTTTTAATATTTTTAAGTATGAAATTTTTTTTTTATATTCAATTTTTTATTCGAAAAAATCGTCTTTTTATTATAATTTAAATATATGTATATCTATGTATATATGAATATGCAATTTCATAAATATTTTCTCATCAACTCAAATCTTGATCCGGTGTTCAATGAACCGGGAAATTTGAACGCGAGCTCGTGGAAAAAAATTCTATCTTTCATTCCTGTGTCACAGAAAACAATTTTGAATTTTTTCCATTTTTGTTTATTTATGTATTTGTATAAAAAAAATTTTTTTCCACTAATATTTTAAAAAAAAATGGTTCACACAATTTTTTTATTAAAAATAAAAAAAAAAAAAAAATTTTTTTTTTAGGGAACCTACTATTATGAGTCTATATATATATGTTAATTTTCGTATGGGGTGGTTCCGTGAAGAAGTGTTTAGTTATTGTCGCGTAAAACGAAATTCCAAACACGTGTACACCGAACGGGGTTGAAGACTCGACTGTCAGAATCGGCGTCCAACAAAACTCTCGAGGGGGATGGTTAAAGGACGCACGCGCATTTCAAGTCAGTTTGGGGGGATGATCTCCCCCCTCTCTCTCTCTCTCTCTCTCTGTGAGAGTCTTGGTTCCATATCGCGGACACTGGCGCATCGTCGTGTTCTGGTCCCGTTTGCCAAACTTGGGTGTCAGCATAAACCCATTGTGTATAAGGATGTCAGGATACATATATAGTAATGTCGACCTTTTACGATATAGAGAGTTCTATATATATATGTATACGAGAAGAGGAGAGACATTCCTCATTCCTTGTTTGGAAATTCACCCCCCCCCCTCCCCTTGTGAAACTTTTCCCCCGTCACCAATCGAAAGTCAAGCGCGCGTCAAGGGGTTTGACTAGAAGTTTACTTTCGAAAAGTTTTCCGTCTCCAATCGACTATGGCACTACTTGCATATATGGAAATTAAATGTCCGGCTAGGGAGTCATGGAACCTCCCTTTCCCTTCCTAGGTCCTGAACATAATTTTCCTAACTGACTGATATTTATATATACATTTTTCTCAAATACCTTCCTTTTTTTTTCCTCTAGACGATTTTTATTATTATTCTTTTTTTTTTTTGTCGTGAGAGAAGAATATTATATGGCTGGAGTAATATATATATATGCGACTGGTTTTTATTATACGTGTGGGTCTTGTGCCAAAGTTTCCTATTAAGTTCGATATGAAGGGCGTGTTGGTAGCCAAAAAAAAAAAAAAAAAAAAGTTGGAAAGGGTATAATAAAAAGAGAAGGGGTATTGAGAATGAGAAACTTTTCGTTGGAATCGAAATTGGAATTTAAAGAAAACACGAGTGTCCGCAAGTGAAGTATTGCTGAATTGATAAGCAAAAAAAAAAAAAGAAAGAAAAGGGAAAAGTTTTACTTGGGAAAAAGACACACTTCTTGGTTTGAGATAAGTTGAACTTGACCGAGAGGCAAATGCTTCTCGTTTGTGAATTTTTGACTCAATTTTTTATATGCAAGGAAAAAAAAATATTTACCTGAAACAGCAATATTTACCAGTAGAAAAAAAATTTCACTAGAATAGCGAAAGATTTAATTGAAACAAGTAAAACTTTTTGACTTTTCTTTTTATGTATTTGCTAATTTTATTTATTCTTATTTATTTGCGAAAAAGGTTTTAGTCGGACATAGGATTCAAAATTAGAAAATCAGTAGTAAAGGTAAATATTCGGTCGGACATTCCACTTTTGTAATTTTATGCGTATGATAGAATCGGGATTATACTCAGACAACTTAATTCGCAAATTAGTAGTAAAAGTAAATATGAAGTCAGACTTTTCAAAATTAATCAGTAGATTAAATCGGTTTTCGTCAGACATGTGGTGTAAAATTCGAAATGAGTAGTAAAAGCAAAAATTCAGTCAGACGGCGATTTTTATAATTTTATCAGTAGTATTAATTGATTTTAGTCAGACTGACTTTTATCGGACAGAACGTGAAATTTGGCAAACAGTAGTGCAAGTAAATATTTAGTCAGACTTGTATTTTTGCAATGTTAGTATATCAAAACGGTTTTAGTCAGACATAATAATTGAATTTGAAAATAAGTAGTTCATCTCAATATTTAGCCACACATTAAATTTTTCTATTTTTTGTCAGTAGTACAAGTTGATTTTAGGTAGACATGAGGAGTAGTATTTAAAAATCAGTAGTAAAAGTAAACATACAGTCAGCCATTTTTTAATTTTTCTACTTTTTTCAGTAGTATTAATTGGCTTTAGTCGGACAAATAATAATAAAATTCGAAAATCAATAATAAAAATCAATATTTAGTCAGACTTTTTTTAATTTTCTCCTTTTATCAGTAGTATTAATTGGTTTTAGTCAGACATAAAAATTTAATTCGAAAATCAGTAGTAAATGACAATATTTAGTCGCACATGGAGATTAAAATTCGAAAATCAGTAGTATAAGTAAATATTCAATCAGACTTTAAGTTTTTCTATTTGCTTCAGTAGCACAAGTTGGTTTATAGTAAGACACGTAGGAATTAATTTAGTTAAACTTAATAACTAAATTAGAAAATTAGTCGTAAATAAAAAAAAAATTAATTAATTAATTAATATAAAATTTTGTAATTTTATTCGCAGTAGGAATAAATGTTGAGTAAGGCTAGTTAAATTCTAGTAATTTTGTCAGTAGTAAATTTTAGTTTTATGTCAGACATTATCAATAAATTAGAAAATCAGTAGTAAAAGTAAATATTTTGTCAGACTTTTATTCTTTTAATTTTATGAGTAATAAATGTTTGTTTTGGTCAAACATAACGGCTGAAATGTCAAATCAGTAGTAGAAGTAAATAATCAGTCAGACATAATTTTTTTTTGTAATATTAGTAGATAAAATCGGTTTTAGTCGGGCACAATAAATAAATTTGAAAATCAGTAGTAAATGTAAATATTTACATATACTACTTTTTTTGTATTTTTTTTATCAGTAGTACAAGTCGGTTTTAGTCAGACAAAAATATAATCTCATTTAAATTCTTTGAATTTTTCATTTTCTGGGAATATTTCCACTTTAGTAATTTTTTTAATAATTAATAAGAAGACATTACTTGTCATTGCACGGTTGTAAAGAAACTTTATGAAACTCCTCTCTCTCTCTCTCTCTCCCTCTCTCTCACTTAAACTCTCAATAGATGAAAACTTGAGAATCCTGTCAAGTAGTTTGTTTGAAAAAGCTTCTAAATGCCCTCATGAAACAATAAACTTGTGAAATTGCATGAAAATTCTTATCCAAGTCTCATAAACCGTTATCTCCCCCCCCCCTCCCTCTCTCTCTCTCTCCTCTCTTCAAAAGCCACAAACTTTAGAGAGATTACATCTTTACTATTTCCTTCCTTTAAACCTTTTTACGCTCTTTTAAATCGTTTCATTCTTGAATAAATCATTTACACATTAAACGTGTATTTTTTTGTTGTGAAACAAAAAAATTCCAATTACACATATATATATTTATAAAACAACGGGATTTTTGGGGACAAATTCTTTTCACATTTTTTGTTGTTTTGTTTTACAAATAACGGATTGTGTGACGTGTGCGCTGTGTTGCGTGAAATTAAAATAAGCTCGTTGCTGATAGTTCGACAGACTATATATGTTCGTGTGTCACATTTTCATGCAAAGATAACAAAGAGGTTGTCAGAGAAATGACACTATCGATATTATTCCTGGGTCAGAAACATTGCGCGCAATTTAATATCAAGATTACTTTCCTATATGCGCGGACTTTTTGTGTATTGGGAATAATAATTTTGTATTATTTGCAAAAAAAAATAAACATAATCTTTTTTTATCATCAAAAAAATTGGGAATCTTTGTTCCTCGATAAGAATTTTTTTTTTTTAATTTTTCTTTTCATATATTGGATTCGAAAATATAGGGAATCAATTTTCTTCTGATTTAGCGTCTCTATTTTCTATATATATATTTTTTTTTCGTATTCTTTTCTTCCTCAAGGTGCTCTCTTATTTCTTTTTCCATTTTTCTCAAACGGATCCTGAGAAAAGCTGCAGAGTATTATTACGTTATCTCTGATTCAGCAACGGGCCCGGCTGTGTAGAGAGAGAGAGTGAGAGAGTGAGAGAGAGAGACTTCAACTCGACATACGTGCAATGCAAATTTCGGAAAGCCTTCCCCGTCGGCCATAAATCGTGTTAGCGTTATCCACGTCCGTCGCCACGCGACGCTATATTGTACAAGTAGATATGCTGTATATTGCATATCACTCCACTATAAAAGCATCTAAAAAAAAAAAATTTTTTTTTCTTTTTGTAAATTTAATTTCCTCCTATATACACTGTCAGCTTATGTTTAAATCAGGGTTAAAAAAAATTTTTAATTCCCCTCTGATATGAATTAACGTACATCCAAAAATATACAGTTAAATAAATTTTATTCACGCTAAACAATATTATTAATAATTCCATTATTTTTAAATTAATTAATATCACGAAAAAAAATTCTATGGAACAGCGATATGTTTCTTTAGTATAACGAAAACATTTTGTTTTAGTTAAACATATCGCTGTTCCAGGTGAATATTTTTTTCCGTGTAGTTTCAATATTTATTATAAAAATTATTAATAATTTTAATATTTAATTAAAACTGCTTAATAATAAGAAAAATATTAGTAATATAAAATTATTAATAATTTTAATATTTAATAAAAACTGCTTAATAATAAGAAAAATATTAGTAATATAAAATTATTAATAATTTTAAATTAAATTAGATTTTACGATTTTGGTAATTCAGATTTAGTAGAATATATACATATTATAACAGGTAAAATTAAATAAATGTTATTAAATTATGTCAGGCAATAGAAAAGAAAAAAGATTTTTTTTTAAAATGTATATATATATATGGCAACAAGTATTATACAATTAAATCAAAATTCCCTTGAGGTGATAGTAATTCGCGAGTATAAATCGCATCTGTGAATTGTATTGTTTGGGAATACTGTAACTTTGGTGTCTGCTTTCGCCTTTCCGCGACGCTAAATGCATTATCATAATGCACCGTTGGTTGGTGATACAGTGCGCGTAAGTAAGTAATAAAATTATCTCTTGCAAATTTGGTCGTTAGTTTGTAGAGATGCAAGTTCCGTTTTGCAAATTACAAGCATTTATGGCCAATGTTTTGAATTAGTAAATATCAACGTTCCTTTTCCAAAAATTTCACTGGAAATTCATTTTTTTTACTTAAAATTTTTTATTTTCTTACACTTTTTTTTTTACCAAAAACTAAATAAATAGTAAATAATAATAATAAAAATAATTTTAAAAAAATAAAAAAAAATAAAAGTAGATAATGACAATAATAATAATTATTATAGGAATAAAAATAGTAATAAACAAGTTGTAAATTCAGATTCGATTAAAAAAAATTTTTTGGAAAAAGACGATAAATTTTTATTTTTTTTGGTATTTTTTAAAATCCTTTG